AGGGAAGACGAGCAAAGGAGGGGGGAAAGAAATGGGAGAAAAGGAGGGAAAAGGGAGGAGGGGAGGAGAAGAAAGGGAGGGATGTAGAGGAAGGAGAGGGAGGAGGAGAAAGGAAGGGAGGTCAAGCAAGCAAGCGGAGAACGAAAAAGAAAAAAAAAATTATGCTGTGGAGCATGTTCCCCCGCAAGGGTCAGCAAATACGATGCGAAGGAAAACCGGATGATGCATTTTTTTGAAAAAAGGAAAAGACGGAAAAGAAACCCAGGACAGGAGGAGAAAAAACAAAACAAAACAAAACAACACAAAACAAAACAAAAAAACAACAACAGAAAACGTCGGAGTAAAAAAGTCAGGAAAGACGCAAAAGAGGTTATGTTTCTCGGCCTAGAGAATTCTGCACATGATCAGTTGGTGCTGATCTCGTGGGATTTTCATAACTCCTTATTTTTATGCTATGGTAGGAGCACAAGTCCTCTCTCTGTGTCTCTCTCTCTCCCCCTTCCCCCCCCCCCCTCCCTTCCCTTCGCCCCGACGGTCCTGCTTGGTCTGTCTTTCTCTTTCTCTCGCTCCGTCTCTATCTTTGTTACTCGTTTTTGTTTTCACTCGTCGTTAGTGTTTAAGGAAAAACACTGACATCCTCTCTCTCTCTCTCTCTCTCTCTCTCTCTCTCTCTCTCTCTCTCTCTCTCTCTCTCTCTCTCTCTCTCTCTCTCTCTGTGTGTGTCTGTCTATCTTTTGTTATTGGTTTTTGTTTTCACTCGCCGTTAGTGTTCAAGTAAAAATGCTGACGTCCTCTTTCAATTATGTTGTCTCTCCTCTTTACTCGGTGCATCTACATCGCTTGCCGGACTTATGTGTCTCCACGTAGCCGGCTCACCTACCTGTTTCGGACCTGGTTGTGTCCACCTACCTTTCTCGGACCTGCTTGCGTGCATCTACTGGCTCAGCGAACCTGCATCTACTGGCTCAGCGAACCTGTTATGAAACTGTTTTTGTCCATCTAACCGGCTCACCGAACCTGTGCCGACTCTGTTTCTGTCCACCGAACCTGCTCACCGACATTGTTCCATTCGCTTTTTGTTAAACCCACAAGTTCAGCCGGGCCTAAGTTGATGAAGCTACCTTCCACGACTCGCGATTCTGCAGCTGCGCCTTTTCAAAGTGCCCTGCCACTTTCGCTATCGCCACAGGCGCGTGAGTCCAAATGTGCTTACCTCGTATGCCCGTAAGAGCAAAAAAAAAAAAAAAGAAAAAAAAAGAAGGTTTGTGTGAACTTACAAAGGTTTGTGTGACCTGGTAGAGTTACGCCTTCAGCGACTCCTGCTGCCGTTGGTCACTGCCGACGACCTCCGTACTGAGCCTAAAACGTCGTGTCCAACCCATAACCTTGTAGG